TTAACAACCCATATTTAAGAGCCATTGTACTGCTCTAAAACACACACTCTGATTAAATGTTAATATCCGTTTGATGTAACATTCGGAGGGCAATGCATTTAAGAGATAACTTCAAGGTGACTATGAGTTGACGTAGAACTGAAAACCATTCTTTCGTTCCAGTGAGTTCAAAAGTTCATTTTGTCCTCTACTTGAACTTTCGGAAGGAATTCTCATCTATAATATATGAACAAATCTGTGCAAAACATAAAAACTCAACTTCAAATCAACTTGATGTGGCTCCATGACAGCAGTAAATAAATAAAACATTACTAAACCCATGAATATGATATGGAAAATAGAACCCAATGGTGGGCTTCTCCAAAGTAAAAATAAACAAATGTATGAAACAGTGATGAATAACAAACCCCAGTAGATTCCTCACTAGAAACTAAATTGATCGTTCCATAGTAATGAGACTCTTTAGGTTGAAAAACACGGTCCACATATAGGGCCCTTGATTTATATAATAAGAACTATAATAATGCTGTTAACATTTAGAATGCATTAGTGTTTTATTGCTGGGAAAATCAAGAGAAAACTAGTCTGGAATCGAATATTGAGGGCTCAAATTATGTGGTTTCCCAATAGCTGTAGTGGAGTGAAAATGTAGTACTGGAAGGTAACAATTCACCCCTGGTGGCATAGGACATACATGTTTGCACTTTGATGAGATTAGCGGTTAATGTGGAAGCCCTGCCACATGTATTATACTCTGCAAATTTATCTACTATATGTGTTTTTGTCTCTCCTTAAAATGTACAGACACATGCTTGACAAAGACCTTTGTTGGTCGAGCTGCTGTACACATGATGCTCCAATAAATCTACCTGATATTGAGCAAGAAGTGTCTGAAGCCCTTCTTTGGAAGTACTATATGTACGGGTGATGATGGCCCTACCTCAGGTAAGTACCCTGTGGTTATTCTGGACGTGTGCGATACTTTTTTTTTTCTTTATTGTCCAATATAACAGGATTTTATTAAGACAAACATCTAAATATCCCTCCAGTGGATATGTATATATATAAAGTCAAACAGGAGCACTCACTTGGAATTTTTCAATAGTGTATTATAAAGTGTTCATCAGCTTACATCAACGTTTCGACCCTACAGGGTCTTTATCAAGATAATGACAGTGCAGAAAATTTGCATATATATATATATATATATATATATACAAAAATAATGATTATCTAACTTACTCTATCTGTGTGATGTGATTTCCAGTGTGCACCCAAACCGCCAAAATGCGTGCGTGATGCCGTGTGCGCGGTCATAGTCTGACCGGAGAACCTCCAGTGACCAGTATTTCTGAGATACATGGAGTTACTGACCCTGCAGAGTATACTCCAGAGGTAACTCATGGCAGTTGGTAAACCTGCCTTTCAAGGTTCTAATGGAGCTATTAAGCAGTCGTTTTGCTTTTCAACAATGAACATGTCTCCTCCAGTACTAGGAGCCTCATTTTTCTGATCACACATACCTGGGCTTGTCATACTTTGGAGGCTTGAGTGGTATCCATAGTCCAGATTTATATAGACTGGAGTTTTTTCTTCAGGCACAGGAGTCTCCATACCAACAGGAGTATTAAGACCAATGAATCAAAAGGTAAAGAACTGAAGGAAGAAGCATTCTGGACAAAGGGGTGATTTTTTTTTTAGGTCCCAGAACAAGAGCAGTTCCAGGGACAAGTTTCGCCTCTCTTCTGGTGCTAAGAGGAAAAACACATGGAAGCCTACACTGGACCTAAGAGGGGCCAACAAGAGGCTGAATGTCAGAGTCTTCGGGATGGAGTCAATCAGATCCATATCTCAAGCAATCTGAAAGGATAATTTCCTTACCTCTATATATATCAAGGATGCTTACTTTCAGTCCAATCTGCAGAGATCTTCGGCATTAGTTTAGAAGAGAACTTCCAAGTTAGTGCCCTACCATTTGGCCTCAATGCGGCCCCAAGAATCTTTATATGTGCTTATAGTGTTATTGAGAGTCCAGAACTCCACCTGGTTCCATTATATGGAGGATCTACTTCTGATAGCCTTAGACCCTCAGAAGGCAGGCACACAGAGGTATATAGTTCTTTCATAACTCCTAAAGTTGATGCTTGATGAATATCAAGAAAAGCAGTTTCACACCAGCTCAGTGGTTGACATTCCCGAGTGGAAAATTATATGCTCTGCTTTTCTCTATCTCAGGAACAGTTCCACAGATTGTGAAGGCTTTCTCTCCCAGTTTCTTCATTTCTGCTTGGTAACCGCAAGAAAATAGATGCAACTACTAGGAATCCTGGCTTCCACCAGCAGACTTGTCAGATGGGCCCAATGGCATCTCTGGATTCCTCACAGATCCTTCCTATCTTGGTTTAACAAGAGAAAGATATTTGTAGCCAGCCACTGACTATGTCCACATCAGTGGAGTTACACCTTACCTGGTAGCTGAAAAGAGGGATTAGATCTGAGTTTCCAGTGAACAGGACCTCATTGGTCAATTATTAGCTCGAGTCATTTTCAAGGCTCTTCACTACAGAGGCTTGCTGAAGAACAAGTGGGTCCAAATTTGCTCAAATATCAATGCAACTGTATCCTATATCTATCAAGATGGGTCTCACAGATACGTATTGAGGGAATTCCAGCCCATAATGATCAGGGCACAGAAGAACAACCAGGGGCTCAGAATACAATGGCTGTTTGCTTGAGCCGAATAACTGTGGACAAGGTGGATTGGCAACCATGTCACGATGTATCCTCAGGGTTGACGCAGATTTGCCTGATACCCTACATATTTCTTAGAACTACCAGGTCCAGAAGTATTTTCTACATGCTAGGACCAGAAGGCTCAGGTTCAGGATACACAATTTTAGTCTGATGTACATATTTTCCTGTTTTCGACTTTCCTAAAAAGATAATGCAAAAGGTGACAGTGGAAGACCATGTCGACTCTAATTCCTATGATGAATAAGATGATTCTGGAACCTCCAAGGGAAATTCCAGTATGTCCAGACCTATTTCAAGGCCCCTTGACACACCAGGATCCTCAAGTTCTGGTGTTGATGCGGGAGTCCATATTAGTATAGGCATCCTTGAGACGGTCATTGAGATCCTCTTACAATCCTATACAGGCTTTACAAAGCTAGACATTCTTTTGTCTGTTGGAATTACTCCTCGTTCAGGCCTTGAAAGGTTCTGTGTTATAACACCCTAGAGGAGCACTTAGCTGCACTTTTCTTTATATAGGCATTGATTGAAATCATGCCTCCACTGAGTGTGGTGAAGCCAATATGTGACGTACCACTGGTCTCACGGGCCCTTACTAAACCATTATTCGAACCTCTAGAAGGATCTTCCATGGTGGTAGCACAGAAAGTGATGTTGGCTGGTACCCCAGCAAGGAAAATGGATGTACTCCAGGCTTCATCCTGTGAACCCCCTTTCATTACTTTTCAACAGATATGGTCGTCTTGCATTTGGTACCTGAAGACCCTGCCTATGGTGAATGCTTATCTATGTAATTCTCTACCTGTACTGAAGGGTACCCATTGAGCGTTGATGCCCTGGTGCTTTGCTTCATGTAAGCAACAGTTGAACTCAAGCCTCCGCTGAGGTTGTTGAAACCAATATGTGACATACCACTGGTCTCACAGGCTCTGACTAAACCATCATTTGAACCTCTAGCAGGAGCTTCCATGATGTTAGCACAGACGTTGCTGTTGCTGGTACCTCAGCAGGGTGTGTGAACTCCAGGCTTGAACCTGTGTACCCCATTCACTGAATTTCAACAGGATATGGTTGTCTTGCTTTTAGCACCAGAGATCCTGCCTAAAGTGAGAGCCTTTCAATGCCATTCTCTACCTGTACCAAAGGATTTCAGGGCATTCTCCACTAGTGCTGTTGCAGCATCTCGTGGGCTTCCATGGCAATGGTCTCTGCTGAAACTTTGTAAAGTTGGCATTTGGACCTCTTTGAACTAGTTTGTCCTGCATTACATATTGGATATTGAAGCAATTAATGAGGCACAATTTGGACGTCACGTCCGTTCTCTACCTGTGCTGGAGGGTATCAGGGCACTCTCCTCTCATGCTGTTGCAGCATCATGGGTTTCCATGGCAATGGTTTCTGCTGACACTTTTTGTAAGCTAGCATTTGAACCTCCTTTAGACACATTTGTCTGGCATTTCATACTGTTCGTTAAAACAGTCTATGATGCACAATTTGGTACTCAAGTACTTAACTCAGTTCATTCTTCTATCTATGTTGAATTATTCTGATAATTTGATTGGCTATTCTGTCCCTCCCTCTGTAAGCTTGGGTATTCCCCATGTGTATATGCTGCCATGATTAGCCAGGAAAGTGGAAAATTTATTCATACCGTAATTTTCTTTTCCTGGCTATTATTCATGGCAGCATATACTTCCCACCCATTAATGTCTCTATTTATGTACTGTAGAGCTTGTAAACTGACTGAGGACCTTAGGGATGGAGCCTCCTTTTAAAACCTTTGTGGTTTTCCTGTCCTATCGGCTGTAGGGGAGGAGCTAACCCATGTGTATATGCTGCCATGAATAATAGCCAGGAAAAGAAAATTACGGTAAGTATGAATAAATTTTCCACTATATATATATATATATATATATATATATATATATATATATATATATATATAAATATATATAGTATTATATTTACTTATTTATTCATATATACATATATATATATATATATATATATAATTTCATTCTAAGTGTATTTTGATATACATATATTAATATCAAAATACAGTTAGAATAAAATTACATATATATATATATATATATATATAGAAAATAATTTTTACATTTTTAAAATTATTTACATTTACTTATTATTTATATTTTATAATATATGGAAGGCGTGGCCTGAAGTTGTGGGAAGGGCTGGGTTACCCTTCTTAAGGGACTCCAGACCCTTCCCTCACTACCTGTTAGGTTCGACGGATTGCTGGGGAAGTATTCGTCACTTCCGGTTTCGGACAGCAGTTTCCGGCGGGCTCGTGCGCGTTAGGTCGGGCAGTTTCTCCGAGGCATCCAGGATTACCTCCGGATACCACGGGCTGGTGCGCGCTAGGTCAGGCAGTCGGCGGGCAAATTTTCACGCTGCAAATCGTAAGTTAAAACGGCCGTCGCAAATTTGGCGGCGCGGCTGTTTTACGTCATCACTAAGGGTCAATATGCTACACTCTCACAAAGTACTATTATAATACAATGTTATACAACAACCTATTCACGTCTTGATACTTTGTCACATTATAAGCACACTTATGCTTATTTCTCACGTTACTTTTATTCTTGTGTCCATTCATTACAACGATGTTACTTAAAAGCATACACTGGTATAGGCACCAGAGCGACCTCTGGTGTCTAAAATTGTGATTTGAGTTTCTTGTACCCGTTCTGTCATTTATACTATTTTAAGTTTCATAAAGTTTGCAGTTATTTAAAGCAAGTTTGGCATATGGGGTTACAATCAGTAATGTGTGCAGATACGTTGTATGTGGGGCACGTATTTTAATACAATTATTAGGCTGCTAGCCTAACAATGACTACGGATCTTGGTATTGGGAATTTATATATATGCATGATTAGCACTTAAGATGTCTTTTAAACTCTTTTCAGTATTTTCTCTGCATTCCCACGGTGGGCAGCTATTCTAACAACTTGCACAGGACTTAGGTCAGTTCACTCGAGTTATTTTCTACTTAACAGTCACCCTACGCCAGGGTCCTTATATGTGTTTTCTGTATTTTAGGTATAGGCATCCTTGCTCTTTTGTTAATTGGTGCCCAGTCCTCTGCTAGGGCAATATTGCTGGTAGGTATCTGAATAACAGGGGAGTTAGGGGTCATATTTCTGTGCCCGTACAAATGTATATTACTTTCGTAGGTTACTACAGATCGTCTGTACCTCCTTTTCCTCATAATAGCTGTCAACCCGCTCATCAGGTACGTCATATCTTTTCGACTATTATTCCCCATACCTTCCCTTTCGGCTTAGTACAGATTTACTGGCTTACATAAATAGGACCCACTAGCTACGTTTTCTGGCCTCTTATGCCTTACGTTAGTGGTCCCGCGAGGGACCACTCATAGCTAGCCGCCTCGCTTAGTTGCATAGAGAGGGCCTTACTTGTCACTCCCATTCTGTCTTATGCTGTTACAAATCACAGAGAGGCCTCCACCCCGCCATAATGCCAATGGCCAAGTACTCCACACGAGCCAAATCATAGCCGCTTGGCTACTAGCAGGGCCTCACCTGTCACGTTACTTAATAATTCTTCGCCGCTTGGCATTAGTTATCATAAGCCAGTTGGATAGCACCCCAGGTAACATGTCATTTTTATGTTATAGCATGTCCCAAGTTCCGGAAGGAAGGGAAGATGAGTCCTTACCCAGTACACCAGCTAGATCAGTCACTCCGTCTCGGGGTGACGACATCGCAAGCCCTGCCTCACTCAGGGCATGGACTATTCCCAGGATCACAGCCGAATTAAGGAAGATAAATATTCCTTTCCCTGCTACAGCTAGGAAAGCAGAACTGTACAGATTGCTGAACACACAGACTGATAACGCGGGGGCGGGTGAAGGGTCCAGTGGCACCCAATCTTCAGATCTGAATACGATTCTATCCTCAGTCCTGACCTCTTTGGGTCATATTACTGACAAACTAGACAAAATGGATGCAGAAAGCCAGCAAAAGTCGCTGGCTGCTGCAGTGGATCCGGCTGCTTCGGTCCATTTGGACCCCCTACCGGGTAATTTACAAAATAGGTTAAAAGACCCACATATTATTAACCCTGCACACATGGTGCCTGCTAAAACAAAGAAGGACATCTTGGAAGGGAAAGATATCAATTTGGTATCACTTTTGATAGTCTCACAAGATGTCCTAGAGAATAAGACCTATGCATACGGTGATGTGTCAGTGGTATTGAAGTCCAGAGACCCCAGGTTGAATCAGAAGCTATCAATTCCAGAATTTGTACTAGCTTTCGGTATATACAGAGATGTAATATGCTCGGTATACCCGGATAGGAGGGAGGAATTGGACCTGTATCTCCACAAGCTGGTGGATTTGGGGCATAAGTACGGTGGTACGTCTTTTTACGACTACCACCATGCCTTTTCCGCGAAGGCGTCGGCAGCCCTTTCACAGTTCAATTATCAAACGGATTGGGGCGTGCTGGATACAGAGCTTTTTTGCCGGCACTTCGCGGGCCTAAAAACCCCAGCTTGTGCCATTTGCTCGTCCAATTCCCACACGGCTAATCTGTGCCCTAATTCTCCAGAGGTAAACGCTGTTTTTCCACCTCCTAATGTAGTACCCACAGGGAGACCTGGCAGGGTGCTTAAAGATAAACTAGGCCGTGATATAGTGTTTTTGGGTAAATCGCAGGTCTGTAACAATTTCAACTCAGGTTCCTGCGGTTACAGTGCCTGCAGACTTCTCCATGTTTGCTCACTATGTTTCAGAGCTCACTCCAAGGCAATGTGCCCAAATAAACTATACCCTAAGCAGTACTTATTGTCTCTTCATGTCTCCCTACTGAAACAACTTTTGCATGATCACCCTTCCCAACATCTCGTTGATTTTTTGGTGACAGGGTTTAAGATGGGGTTTCACACGGGTATTATTCACATGCCCATGGGGATCCTAGAATGTAATCATTTGCAGACAGCCTTGGCAGCACCCAACACTATTGACTTACTCCTACAGAAGGAAATTGACCAAGGTTTCTTATTAGGCCCTTTCAACCCCCCGCCTTTCGCAGTTTGGAGGACAAACCCCATAGGACTGGTCACCAATAAATCCTCCAATAAACAAAGATTAATTCTCGATCTGTCCGCCCCCCATGCATCTCATACCCCAAGTCTAAATTCACTAATCCCGTCTGAGGAGTTTTCCCTCCAGTATGCCACCATAGATCATGCAGTCACAGCCATACTCTCAGCAGGGGTAGGGGCATGGCTGAGTAAAACTGATATTGCCAACGCTTTTAAGCTGCTCCCTATCCACCCATCCCTATGGCATTTACATGGTGTTAAGTGGCGAAGTTCATATTACTTCTTCACGCGTCTCACGTTTGGCTCTAAAAGCAGCCCCAGGATTTTCGATATCTTCGCTGAGACGTTGTGCTGGATGCTGCTTAACATCTGTAAATGTCCCACAGTTATCCATTACCTGGACGATTTCCTGACCAGTACCTCCCAGTAGCCTCCAATCTATCACACAACTGTTTACACAACTGGGAGTGCCTATTTCACCTACTAAGACTGAGGGTCCAGATACTATCATCCACTTCTTGGGGGTGGTACTGGACTCTGTACACATGCAAGCTAGCCTACCCAGGGAAAAGATTGAGCGCATCCTGGCAGCTATCGACCTTTACTTAGGAGGAGGCTCATGTAATAGGAAGGAGTTGCAATCATTGTTGGGTTCTCTAAATTTCACTATGAGAATCATTCCACAAGGTAGAGCATTCATTTCAAGGTTACTTAGCCTGTTTCCAATGTTGCAATCTGACACCTCCCGCATTACTTTAGACGTACAGGCCACCGCTGACCTACATATGTGGAGAGAGTTTTGCAAAATTGGAACGGGAAAAGCATGTTTATACCGGTTTGGTCAGAGAAGTCGGAGTCAGTCTGGACGGATGCCGCAGCCACATCAGGTTTTGCAGCAATATGGGGCAATGAATGGATGTGGGGAGAATGGCCTAGGGAAATTACAGAGATCCCCGGTTTAAGGACACTTCAGCCTTGTTTGAGCTCTATCCTATCTTAGCGGCAGCAGTTAAGTGGGGAGCGAATTGGTCCGGGAATACGGTTCGTTGCTTCTCGGACAATATGGCAACATGCCATATTGTAAACAAGGGGCGTTCCTCTTCCCTCACCATCATGCGTTTCATGAGGACTCTCACATGGCTCGCTGCAAAACACAGTTTTCTTCTCACTTGTGTTCATGTGCCTGGGGTTCTCAACATTGCAGCTGATCATTTGTCACGGTCTCGGTTTCAGGAGTTTCGGGAGGCCCTGCCAACAGCTACCCTGATACCAACTCCAGTTCCAAAGTGGCAGGAAATGGTCTGGGACTAAAAGTTCTGCTATGTCAAGGGCGACAACTCTCACAGCTCGGTCTCTCCGATAATACCAGGAAGGCATATGAAAGGGCTTTCCATGTTTTCAATAAATTCTTGTTGGACTTTAATGTCACTGACCAGTTTTCTATGGAAACCATTATTGCTTTTATTTCTTTTTGCCACTTTCGTCTAACATTATCTTACAATACCATCAAATTATATATCACAGGCATTCAACATCACATCCTCACCACTTGGCCTAACAAACAACGCTTTCTGTCGTCCTACCAAGTTAAGGCTATACTTAAAGGCATCAAAGACTCCGCCCCTATAGCCTCACCAACTAGACTACCCATACACGATGTATTGTTTCAGTCACTGTCAAAACTACTAGACACCTCACCCTTTGAAGCTCATACTAATCATGTAATTAAAGCCGCCATCTATCTAGCATTTTACGGGTTTTTACGGCCCAGAGAATTCACTACTACTAGCTATAACTCACCCCTTTTCCTCACAAGGTCCGATCTCATAAAGGTCCAAGATCACTATCTTCTGTTACTGCACCATACCAAAACAAGCGCCCCCGGGCAAACGGTCACTATACCCTATTACCCCACAAGTAATACTTGGTGCCCGGTGAAGGTTTTCGACACACTTCTTGCCTTTGACAATATGGGCCCCACACAACCACTCCTGTCCTTGCACGGCAATAAGCTCACTACGAGCCAATTCATGATGTATATTAGGATATTGTTAGCCCGGTTAGGACTGAACCCAGCCAGCTACTCTGGTCACTCTTTTAGAATAGGAGCCGCCACCACCGCTTCTAAAAAGAATATCCCTGCTCACATTATTCAGATACTAGGACGATGGAAATCTACGGCATACACCAGATACATACCTCAGCCCATACAAGAAGTACGCCTGGCTTTCAAAACTATGAATTTGTAATCTGTTATGTCCGGTTGTAGGACGAATAAATGGTTATCTCTTTTTGCCCTCTTTTATTTCAGGCCTACTTCCTCGT